ATCAAACGCAGGGCCGGCGAGGGGGGCGTGGTCAGTCCCAAACCTTCCGGCCCCCACGGGGCGGCTTTAAGTCATCCCAGTGCCCCTCGGTGTTTGCGGCCAAGGATTGGCTCGGCATAAATTTCCCCGCCTATAGCTCCTTTTCGCACACGGCCGACTTGAAGCATGTTTGTCATTTTTTGGTTATTAAACAAGTTTTCTGATTTTAGAGGCGCGCTGCTTATTGGTTTTAAATAAATTTAATTACAAACCTAGATCCAGGAAAAATATGTTTAAAAAATAAACTTGTTGATAGGAATTAAAAAAAAAAAAAAGGCATAGCCTTCTCATACCAAGAAGAGAAAAATAACAGCTTTTAAAGAAAACTCACAGTAATTGAATAGGTAGAAGGAATCGTTCCGAAGTCTTCCCTCGATAATCTGATCTATATTGATCATACATCCATTTTCAGGAAACTGGAATGTATGAACCATGCTCTTTTACACTTTGTTTTGTCCATTCCCACATGATCTTGAAGCTGTGGAATTTGAGTATGTTACCAATAGAAGGTGTGATTACATGGACATGGGGTTCCAGGGAAAGGGCTGAACTATCTATTGTCTCTCACTTCCTGGCTGTGTGATGTTGAGCCAAGCTATTTACCCTCCCCATTGCTCAGTTTCCTCCTCTAAACTGGGACCAACTAGGGGCACCTGAGTGGCTCATTTGGTTAAGCGCCCAACTTTGGCTCAGATCATGATCTCATGGTTGGTGAGTTGGAGCCCCGGGTCTAGCTCTGTGCTGACAGCTCAGAGCCAGGAGCCTGGGTCAGATTCTGTGTCTCCCTCTCTCTCTGCCCCTACCCCGATCTTGCTCTTTCTCTCAAAAATAAATAAGCATTAAAAGAATTTTAAACTGAGACCAACAAGAGTTCATTGGATTGTCATTATGATTAAATCAGGTAGTTGGACGCCCAACCGACTAAGCCACCCAGGCACTCCTGGAAGCTAATTTGTAATAAAGCGATACCTACTTCAACATAGGTGCACAAGAGACACAATACGGCAGTCAGATCTTACTTCAAAAGACAGAATTATTGAAAATTTAAAAGCAACAGAGCAGTCTAACAGGAGGGCTGGATCATCAGCTCAAATGCCTCAGGCAACATTGCTGTGGGTGATACAATTTTTTTCCAAAATTGTGGCCAAGTCTTAATAAAGTTATCAATAAGACAAGGTAGGAATAATTTTGGCATATTCAAAAAAAAAATCATGGTACATCAGCAAGTACATCAGGGTGGCTGGAGCTGAGTGAGGTGGGGGGACAGGGTGCAAGAAAAAACTATATATATATAGATAGATATAGATATATAGATATAGATATAGATATAGATATTTAGATAGATATTTAGATAGATATTTAGATAGATACTTAGATAAACATAGGTATAGATATAGATGATACAGATATATATATTTTTTTGGTTGCTTCCTTGGGGAAGGTGCTTAACCAAATACTTGTTGGGGGCAGGGGCACCTGGCTGGCTCAGTTGGAAGAGTACACAACTGGATCTCAGGGTTGTGAGTTTGAGCCCCACGTTGGGTGTAGAGATTACTTAAAAACATTTTTTAAAAAGCCTATTGGATTGCAGCAAATTCAGTTGAACGAAGAGACTGGTTCTTCATAATTACCAAAAACAGCTCATTAAATATTGTTGTTAACGTAAAAATGTCGTGTGTAGAGTCAACCATTTTTATACCACATATGCTAAGTTTTTAAGACTTTCAGAAAATGTACGTTGAAATTGATGTGAAAAAACAAATGAAGCTGTATTATCGGAATTCACGTAAAAGAGACTGATCAGAAATGTTTTCCCCCATACCAAATAGAGGATAATCACAAGGCTTTACATTTCCAGGTTTCGGGCGTGTGGTTTATAGAGTGAATAAATCAGGCGCTAGGATGCTTAAAAAAAAAAAAAAAAAAAAACCGGGAAGGGAAGAAAGGAGGGGAGGGGGGGCGGCGGGGGGGGGGCGGGGGGGGGCGGCGGCGAGGGCGGCGGCGAACCGAGGCGATCTTGGCTGGGAAAACAGGCCCACAGCACCGCCGTGTGGCCATTTGGGAATTTGCAGCAGGATCTTTCAGAAATCCCTTAACCCCGGAGCAAGCAAGAATTGGGACACGACATCTGGGTGAGGGGATTCTGAGGGATCGAGATGGAATATTCCAGCTGCTAAAATAGATGAGGGGGAGATGTGGTAAGACTTATCGTAGAGAAACTGATGCTCCGTCTTCTGGGTCAAGGAAATTCCCTAAAGCAACTGTGCTCAAAGTAGGTTGTTGAAAATACTTGCTGAGCATTTGCTAGATACCAGGCACTGTCCTAGGTGCTGGGGACGTGGTGACGAATGAAATAAACCAAGATCCCTGCCCTCGTGGAAATAAGATTATAATGGGGAAACAGGCAGTATCACTGATTCTAAGATGCACGTGACTTAAACCTGATGACATCTTAGAGTTAATTAAATGTTCAAAGAGGTTGAGTGCTATGGGAAAAAATAGGTCAGGGTAAAGGAGATTGGAGATTTGGGGAGGGGATGGTTGCCATATTGAATTGGGTGGTCAGGGAAGACTTCACTAAGAAGGTGATATTCAAGAAAATATTTTATTTTATTTTTTTTTCAACGTTTATTTATTTTTGGGACAGAGAGAGACAGAGCATGAACGGGCGAGGGGCAGAGAGAGAGGGAGACACAGAATCGGAAACAGGCTCCAGGCTCTGAGCCATTAGCCCAGAGCCCGATGCGGGGCTCGAACTCATGGACCACGAGATCGTGACCTGGCTGAAGTCGGACGCTTAACCGACTGCGCCACCCAGGTGCCCCTATTCAAGAAAATATTTAAAGGAGAGAGGCTGATTAGGGTTTTTTGGAGGCAAGACACTTGGGTGGAACAGCCTGTGCAAAGGCCCTGAGGCAGGAGCATGTCTGGGTTTCTCTGAGAAACAACAAGGAGGCCAATGTGGCTAGGCTGAATGATCAAGGGGGATAGAGGAGAGAAGATGTCAGAGAGGGGCCAAGTCATAAAGTGCCTTTCAATTCTGGGATGCCATTGGTACCCCCTGATCCTTTGATCTTCTCTTCTCTTTGCCTCACTTCCTCTCACGGCCTCTCTTCCTTCCTTGGATTCTGTGGCCCAGTGCAGTCAGGTCCTTGTACACATTACTTTAACTTCCTTGCTCTTTCTCCCTCAGTCCTACTTGCCTGGCAAACCCCAACGCTGGTTAAAAATGGACTTTGCCTTTCCTGTGCCTGCTCCCCCCAGCTGAGCTTGTGAGTGGACACACTTCAGCTGTGTGAGGGCAAGCCTCCAGTGGACATTCAGAACCAATCTGCAGGGCCTCTGCAGTTCCCTTCTCTAATCTCTAAGAAAGCGTGTTCTCACCTTCTCTCTCAAAATCTCCAGCACCCCTCCCCCTCTTCATTCTCACTTCTTCTTTGGCAGAACAAAATAGAAGCCACCAGAAGAAGACTTCCGTGCGTTTACCCCAGGGACACCACGAGCTCACTTGCAGAGGTACAGGTGAACTGCTGCCCTGCCCATGACCGTGTTGGGACAGCATGTAAGAGGCCTCCCCCACCCCCACTTAGGCACCGGATCCTTTCTCCTTCCCGTACTCAAAACTTTCCCTCTTGCAATGTTTCCTCCTCTCTCTTGCATCACTGTTTGTGCAACCCTTGAGTCGTTGACCTTCAAGGATTCCCCTTCACCAAATGCCAGTACGTCCTCACGGTGCTGTTGAGTATACTTCCTGAATCCTGCGTGTGTTGGGCTCACTTCTCTGCCCAAGCTCCCCACCTCTCCCACTTCATAGCTCCATCCGTGAAGATCCCTTTCCTCTAGGCTCCACCTACGGGACTTTCTTGCTACAGTTCTCTAACAGAAACCCAAGTTCAAGAGTCGGGGGCCCCAACCATCTTGAAAGCAGATTCTTTAGCTTTAGTGAAGGCTTTGCATGATGGCCACCTCAGCTGACATCTGTCCGCAACCCCGTGATCCAGAACCGCATGGCCAAGCTGCTTTCAAACTTCTAACCCAGACACCATGAAAAATAATAAATGTGTATTTCTGTTTTAAACCATTTAGTCCGGGGGTGACTTGTTGCACAGCATTAGCTAACTAGTACACGCTCCCAAGTCTGCTTTTCTCTGTGTCTTTCCAGACCTTGCAAATGAGGATAGCATTTACAGTGTTATGATACTGTAAGCATTGCCCTGTTTTTTTCTGGAATGCGTTTCTATATTTCTTTTTAACTTTTCTTCTGAGGTAAAACTTCCCTAAAGTAAACCTACCTAGGGGCGCCTGAGTGGCTCAGTCAGTTAAGTGTCTGACTTCGGCTAAGGGCATGATTTCACAGCTCATGAGTTCGAGCCCCACTTTGGGCTTTCTATCAGCGCAGAGCCCACTTCGGATCCTCTGTCCCCTTCTCTCTCTGTCCCTCCCCAGCTTGTTCTCTCTCTCAGAATAAATAAACTTTTAAAAACTTATGGGGCGCCTGGGTGGCGCAGTCGGTTAAGCGTCCGACTTCGGCCAGGTCACGATCTCGCGGTCCGTGAGTTCGAGCCCCGCGTCGGGCTCTGGGCTGATGGCTCAGAGCCTGGAGCCTGTTTCCGATTCTGTGTCTCCCTCTGTCCCAAAAAATAAATAAATGTTGAAAAAAAAAATTAAAAAAAAAAAAACTTATAAAGTAAACCTACCCAAGGTGAAATACAAAATCTTAAACGTACAGCTCGATGCATTTTTACTGATGTATTCACCCGTGGAACGCCCACTCAGATTGAGGTAGAGAACATCTCTAGCATCCCTCAAGGCTCCCACGTGCCCCCTCCCAGTCAATACCCTTCGCGAAGGATCACCACTATTCCAACTTCTAAGTTGAGGTTGGTTTTGCCTGTTCTTGAACATAATATGAATGGAATCGCGTGTTTTGGCCTGTTTGGTCTCAAAATACTGTAGATGGGGTAGCTAATAATCATAGATATTTATTTCTCATGGTTCTGGAGGCTGGGAAGCCCACGGATCAAGGCACTGACTGATCGGGTCTGCTTCCTGGTTAATAGCCTTTTCACTGTGTCCACACAAGGGTTGGAGGGGCGGAGGAGCTCTCTATGGTCAATTTTAAAAGGGTATGAATCCCATTCTGGAGGGCTCCACCTTCCTGATTGAATGAATCACCTCCCCAAACCCCCACCTCTAAATACTTTTACACTGGGGGTTCGTTTTCAACATTGAATTGGAAGGAGGACACATTCAGTCCATACTAGGCACTGTTCGTTCTTTCACTTATCGTTAGGTCTCTGAGAATTACCCATGTCCTGGGGGCGCCTGGCTGGCTCAGTCAGAAGAGCACGTGACTCTTGATCTCTGGGTTGTAAGTTTGAGCCCCACGTTGGGCGCGGAGATTACTAAAAAAAAAATAAAGACACAAAGTTTATTTTTAAAAATTACCCGTATCATTGCATGACTTATCAGTTCATTCCTTTTTATTGCTGAGTAGTGAGCCACTGAATGGATGCCTTCCACAGTATGTCTATTCTCAAGCTCACGACCATACTGGTTGTTTCCAGTTTAGGGCTATCGTGAATAATGCCGCTTTATTTTTTATTTTTTTTTAAATGTTTATTTCTGAGAGAGAGAGAGAGAGAGAGAGAGGGAGAGAGAGAGAGGGAGAGAGAGAGAGGGAGAGTATGAGCAGGGGAGGGGCAGAGAGAGAGGGAGACCCAGAATCCAAAGCAGGCTCCAGGCTCTGATATGTCAGCATGGAGACCGATGCGGGGGTGGTTGGGGGGGTGGGGCTTGAACTCACAGACCAAGAGACCAAGACCTGAGTTGAAGCCGGATGGAAGCTCAACAGACTGAGCCACCCAGACGCCCCAGGGGACAGGATGTTTCAAGACAATGGAAGAGCTTTTTTTTTTTTTCTTTATCTATCTGATTCCATGTAGCTTTGGTGAGGCTGTGGGGAAATTGGGGTTATTATCGCCCCTGCAGTTGGAAGCCTACATCATCACAAGTTCTCTGGGGAGTAACTAAGCAACATATATCCAGATCTACGACTTACATCTGCTCATGGCTGGAGTAATTATGGTTCGAGGAATCGGAATGCAGGGACAACGTGTGACTCTTGATCTTGGGGACATGAGTTTCCCCATGTTGCATGTAAAGATTATTTTTAAAAACAAGAAATCGTCGGGGCGCCTGGGGGGCTCAGTCAGTTGAGGGCCCCACTTCAGCTCAGGTCATGATCTCGCGGTTCAGGAGTTCGAGCCCCGCGTCGGGCTCTGTGCTGACAGCTGGGAGCCTGGAGCCTGCTTTGGATTCTGTGTCTCCCTCTCTCTCTGGCCCTCCCCCACTCGTTCTCTAAATAAAACATTAAAAAAAAAATTTTTTTTTTCAACGTTTATTTATTTTTGGGACAGAGAGAGACAGAGCATGAACGGGGGAGGGGCAGAGAGAGAGGGAGACACAGGATCGGAAACAGGCTCCAGGCTCTGAGCCATCAGCCCAGAGCCCGACGCGGGGCTCGAACCCACGGACCGTGAGATCGTGACCTGGCTGAAGTCGGACGCTTAACCGACTGCGCCACCCAGGCGCCCCCCCAAAATTTTTTTTTTAAAGAAACCTGGAAATTGTCATGCAGAGGGGCTCCAGGGTGTCTCATTCGGTTCAGTGGTGAGTTCGAGCCCTCCGTCGGGCTTGAGATTCTCTCCCTGTCTGCTTCCTTCTCTCTCTCAAAATAAAGGAATGGACTTTAAAAAATGTAAGTTTAAAATATTAAGAAAAAGAAACTGTCATGCATATATTATGGAATGAGTACACAGAAAAATACATATGCAGAAGATTACTGTAGCATTGTTTTAATATTAGAAAAGGGCAGGGGCACCCGGGTGGCTCAGTGGGTTGAGGGTCAGACTTTTCGTTTCAGCTCAGGTCATAATCTCACAGGTTCGTGAGTTCGAGCCCAGCACTGGGCTCTGCGCTGGTGATGTGGAGCTTGCTTGGGATTCTTTCTCTCCCTCTTTCTATGCCCCTCGTCCGCTCGCATGTGCACTCTCTCTCTGTCTCAAAAATAAACAAACAAACTTAAAAAAAATTTTTTTTTAATTTTTTAATGTTTATTTTTGAGAGAACATTAATTTTTTAATGTTTATTTATTATTGAGGGAATAAATAATAAATTATTTATTAAATAAATAAATGTTTATTTATTTTTGAGCGGAGGAGGGACAGAGAGAGAGGGAGACACAGAATGTGAAGCAGGCTCCAGGCTCTGAGCTGTCAGCACAGAGCGCAACGCGGGGCTGGAACTCACGGACTGCAAGGTCATGACCTGAACCGAAGTCGGACACTTAACCGACTGAGCCCCCCAGGTGCCCAACTTTAAAAAAATGTTTAAATTTAAAAAACGATAAGCTGATTATTGACATGTAAATCTAAGCTAGAAAACCAAAGACCTCAAATTGTTTCTCAGAAATGTTTGTAGCTCCATGATCAGTGCGTTTGTTTAAGAATGCAGATTCTTGGGGGCGCCTGGGTGGCGCAGTCGGTTAAGCGTCCGACTTCAGCCAGGTCACGATCTCGTGGTCCATGAGTTCGAGCCCCGCGTCAGGCTCTGGGCTGATGGCTCAGAGCCTGGAGCCTGTTTCCGATTCTGTGTCTCCCTCTCTCTCTGCCCCTTCCCCGTTCATGCTCTGTCTCTCTCTGTCCCAAAAATAAATAAACGTTGAAAAAAAAATTAAAAAAAAAGAATGCAGATTCTTGGGATGAGCACTGGGTGCTGTATGGAAACTAATTTGACAATAAATTTCATATATTAAAAAAAAGGAAACAAAAGAATGCAGATTCTTGGGCTCTATCTCAGGCCTTGGGAACCAGAATCTCTGAGCGTGGTGCCCAGGAATCTGCATTTTAACTAGACATTTGGATGCCCATTTAATATTTGAGAAACTTAGTCAATGAAAAAAGGGGCACAATGAGACCCAGAGAGACATTGTCAAATATTTTTATGCTCTTTGCCCAGTTACCAGGGGAAGGAGCTCCTCTAGTCTGACCCTCTCTCCCTTCCCCCAGATCCTTCGCAACATCTGCCCATCCCTGCACTTGCCCAAGGAAACCTTGTGGTTAATGACTCCCGGAAAAGTGAAGTGAAAGTGGTAAACAAAGCAACAGCAGCTACAGGATTAGAAGTGGGGTGGGGGCCGCGGGAGACCGTCCCTGTCCCCTCGCTGAAGTCGGGAGTGAGGCGACCAGTGACACAAGTTGACATTTCTGGTGTCCCTACAAAAATACTCCACACGTCCCTCAAAATACACCACCCGCTTCCCGCTCCTGTCCCCCCTCACCCACAGAGAGACTTCACCTCCCCGGTCACCTCCGAAACCCGGAGGTGGGCGGTGAACAGGGCGGAGTCTCTGAGGAAAGAAAACGGATGGGTCAACACTCGGGTCCCCAGAGATGTCTCCGCTACCGACGCTGCTGCTGTGGTGGCTGCTGCTGCTGACTGTGGAGCCTGCCAGCGCCTCGCTGATCCGGTACTGGGGACCCCCTACCCCGAACCTGGGATGGACTCTCCCCCTTTTGCCCTTCAAGACTGGGGCCCCCAAGTTCAGTGACTCCCAAAGCTGGCACCCCAGGACCCGTGACTTCTATCTCTTGGGTTCCCAGACCTCCAAATTGGGCTCTCGCCGCCCTCCCCTCGCCCAGTGTGGGGGGCTTCTGCCCTGATGTGTCCTAAGAGGACACACAGCCCTTTCGGTCCAAGGTCCTCCAATCCTGAGACCCTCAACTGAGGACTCCTCCTTCCCTCCCCTCTCCAAACAAGTTTTTGGGAGATCCCACCCTGAGCTCTGATGATCTGGTACTGGGGTTTCCAGACATGCAACTCCCCTGGCCCCCAACCCAACAGATCTTGGAGACTCAGAACTCTGACTCCCCCAGCTTCACATCTCCCAGACTGTTTAGGTCTCAAGAAGCCCAGTTTGGGGGACTCCAGGGATCCCTCACTCACCTAGCCTCTGGTGCCTCCCACCCCAATCTCTTACTTCTCCTCTCTTCTCCTATCCCCTGGAACGGGGCGGGGGGGGGGGCAGGGAGGGGTCCTCTTCCAGGAAACATTTCCCCCACTTGACGTTCTTGAGCCTCTCAAAGATTGAGTCATGGCGGGGGTGGGGTGGGGGGTGGCAAAGAAGTGAGTGAGGGGGCAGGGCTCCAAGGACTGATTTTAGGCAGGTACGTGAATATCCCTGCACGCGATGTTTGCTAACCTGCTTCTTGAACCTACTAGATCACGGCCATTTCCCCAGCCAGCACAAAGGGCAGTGATTCTCTTCAGCGTTGTTTCAGGGCCCACAGCATCCGCAGGACCCAGGAACTTGTTAGAAATGCAAACCTTCAGGCTCCATCTCAGACCTAATTCATTAGAAACTACAAGTTCTGAATCTCAGCTCTGGGGCAGGGGCTGGCAAACTCGCAACCTGGGGCCAAATTCAACCTGCCGCCTGTTTTTCTGCGAACGAAGTTTAACAAAACCCAGCCACGTTGTCTAGGGCTGATTTTGTGCTATACAGACGGAGCCGAGCCGTTGCAACAGAGGCTGGGGGATTTCCATTCTGCAGAGCCAAGTCCTAGCTAGCCGGTCCCGTCTTCAAAATTAGACACATCCTCACAGACACAGCTTTGTGCACCTGTCCAGTGATCTCCTGTGGATGAAACTCATTGAGCTGAAGTGAAGTTGGGTTAAAAGGCGTGTAAGGGCTCAGTGGGTTGAACGTCTGACTTCCTCTCCTGTCGTGATCTCTCAGTTCCTGAGTTTGAGCCCCACCTCGGGCTCACTGCTGTCAGCTGCTGTCATCATGGAGCTCGCTTTGGGTCCTTTGTCCCCATCTCTCTCTCTCTCTGCCCCTCCCCCCAAAAAAAGGTGTGCACAATTTTAAGCCCAATGATACACATCTGGCAAATCATCCTCCAGAAAGTTGGTATCAATCGATAGCCCCTAGTCAACGGTGAGTATTCTTAGGTCTTTGCCAATCTCCAGGGCGAAAAAAGTTTTCTGACTCTCATCATTTGTATTCTTTTGACAACTCTTGGGGTTGGACATCTAACATAAAAAGATGTTATTTGTTTAGAAGCTGTTTGTACTTCTGCAAATTACCTGTTTGTGTCCTTTGCTTATTATCCTGGTAAATGTCAAGAACTGTAATGTTAGCTTGCCACAGTTTTGTGGCTGCTTGTAGAAGACACAAGACCCCCGGGTCAGAGACAAGGACAGGTTATTACTCTTGGCAACAGTAGTAGCCAGAGTATCAGTTCTCTGAGCCCCAGTTCCCACAGGGCGAGATGAAGAGAGCTGGCTGAGATCTGCCCATGCAGTGGGGTGCATTACAGGAGGGGAACCCCAAGTTTAGGGAACCTGGACCTTTTACAATGGATCATAAACCTGCGTGCTCTTTGGCCCAGAGGGAGACAGTTTCTCCCCCAAGGCTGTTCACTAAATGAAATCCTTGACAAAGGCAGTCAGTCTGTCTGCAGAAATGTGAGAGAACCATGAGGGAATTGTCTTCCAACACCGGGTTGTTTATCTTATTCTTATTTGCTTGTAAAAGCTCTTTGCATATTAGATATATTAATTCTTTGACATACAACTTGTAATTATTTCCCTTAGATTTTTAAAAAACGTTTTAAACAGCTTTGTGTGTTGGGGAAGGGAGTACAAAGGTTTAAAATTTTAGAGTTACATTCATCAATCCTCTCCCCAATGATTTCTGGTCTTGGTATCATGATTTGAAAAATCTTACTCTTCCCAGAGTTATGTAAACATTTTACTTCTCTCTAGTGCTCTTATGTTACATTTCACATTAGATCTTTGATTATCTGCAACGTATTTTATTATTATCTTTTTAATGTTCATTTATTTTTGAGAGAGACAGAGACAGAGTACGAGAGGGGGAGGAGCAGCGAGAGAGGGAGACACAGAATCTGAAGCAGGCTCCAGGCTCCGAGCTGTCAGCACAGAGCCCGATGCTGGGGCTCGAACTCATGAACCGCGAGATCATGATCCGAGCCCAAGTCGGACACTTAACCGACTGAGCCACCCAGGTGCCCCAAGGCATGTATTTTAGTGTAAAGAGTGAAACTGGGATTTGGTGCTTACAGTCTCCCCCACACCAACAGTGAAGAAAATAGTCTCCAACATCATGAAGTGAAGCATGCAAGTGTCTTTTGCCAAGTCTAGTTTCATGGTGGCGTCTTTGAAAGCCTTTGTGAGTGTCGAGTTCCCGAGGATGGCTTATGTTATGTTCTTTGAAATGGCCCTTATTGAAAGACTTTGGGGAAAGTCTGCTTGGGGTGGGCTGGTTCGCTCTTGCAGAGTCTTTGGGGAGATTTGTCATCACGGTTTGATAGGTATTCCGTTGGGTTTCCTGGAAGGTTGTTATTACAGGGTTTCTGACAATGGCTGAGACGTTTGCTTTGTCGTTCCACCCTATTTGGGAGATTCCTTTATGGAGGGTCTCCAGGAAGAGTAATTTCCTAAGTGTCAGTATCCTCCCCCACAGGATCCCTCTCCGCCGCGTGCACACCGGACACAGGACTCTGAACCCACTGAGGGGATGGGGGAAGCCAGCAGCGACCCCCGCTTTGGGGGCCCCCTCCCCTGGAGACAAGCCCACCTTCGTACCTCTCTCTAACTACATGAATGTGAGTCACAGCCCCAGAGAGTCCTCACCCTCCTCCCCACTTAAGAAGTCAAACCCTTCATTCACCCTCTCTCCGTTTGACCCTCAGGTCCAGTATTACGGGGAAATTGGACTGGGAACGCCCCCACAAAACTTCTCTGTCGTTTTCGACACTGGCTCCTCCAATCTCTGGGTCCCGTCCATAAGATGCCACTTCTTCAGCCTGCCCTGCTGTGAGCTTTCATGGGGGAGGATGAGACTGAACAGGGGTGATGGGAGAAGTGGGGCCTGGGTCTTGGCTTCCCGAGGATTTCTGAGGTGCTGTTCCCTTCTGACACGCCCTCACGGGTCACAAGTTCACAAAGGCAGGAGGCCACTGGGGAGACTCCCTTCCTCCAGTGACACCTCCCTGATCTTCTGACCTAGGGCTCCACCACCGTTTCAACCCCAAGGCCTCCAGCTCCTTCCAACCCAATGGGACCAAGTTTGCCATTCAGTATGGAACTGGGAGGCTAGCTGGCATCCTGAGTGAGGACAAGCTGACTGTGCGTGACCACTGACCCCAGGAAGACTTGAGGCTGGGAGAACCCCCACCGTCTGAGAGGATCTGGCTTAGGGAGGGGGCTTAGGAGGCGGGGCTTCCTGGGGAAATGGATGAAGGGGGCGGGGTTTCCTGGTTAAAGGGGTGGGCTTCCCAAGTGGGGAAGCAATCCTTCCTAGACGGTTGGGGGCTGTTTTCAGGTGTGTCCATATGGGATTCATGCCTTGGTTTGGGACATTTCAGGGTTATGTAGGTTATGTCCTTCAAGAAGCAACCTGCCCCATTTGCATCTATCCGTAGATTGGAGGAATGATGAATGCATCAGTGATTTTTGGAGAGGCTCTGTGGGAGTCCAGCCTGGTGTTCACTCTTGCCCGCTTCGATGGGATACTGGGCCTTGCTTTCCCCGTTCTGGCCGTGGGAGGGGTCCGACCCCCACTGGATGTACTGGTGGACCAGGGGCTACTGGATAAGCCTGTCTTCTCCTTCTACCTCAACAGGTAATGGGCGAGGGTCTACCTTCCTATGAGTCCTAGCCCCGATTAAGATGTGCTGTCTGCTTTCAGAAGTCCCATGTCCAATAAAGGAAGTCTCATCTTCCACTCAGGAAGTCACCTACCCAATATAAATAACACGTGATCAAAAAGTCCCACTCACCGAGCAACCTTAAGACCTACTACAAGCACTCACTGTCACTTTAAATGCCTCATGTTTCAAACCCAAACCAGGAAATTCTGTGCCTTACCTACTCAACTTAGGAACTCCCTCTCCCCCGCACACAAAGCCCAAATTCCATTTGAGAATACATTCCAGAAGTCCGAAGCTACCCATTTTAATCGAAGAAGTCCCACCTATCTTTTAGGAAGCTCAACTTTACGCTCAGAAAGCCCCACCCACCATCCAGGAAGGCCCCACCTTCCCTCTGGAGGTCCATCCCCCACAGTCATAAAATCCTACGCCTGAGCAGGTCCCACCCACTCGAGAAGCTCCACTTACCTCTGGAGGGGTCCTCTCCTTCCACACCTCCAGGAATCCCTGCCCTTCTCAGCCAAATCAGGAAGTCTGCCACCTCTGACCCATGAGACCTACAGTTTAGAAAGTCTCACCATGTGCCCAGGAAGCCACCCCACTTCTGCCCAAGTGACACCTGCCAGAGCCAATTCGCAAACCCCAGGGCTCCATGTGCACTCCACCCCAGTGGCTCAGTTGGTGAAGAGTCCAATTCTCGATTTCAGCTCAGGTCAAGCTCTTCCGCTGGGTGGGGCGCCTGCTTAAGATTCTCTCTCCCCCCTCTCTGCCCCTCCCCTGCTCACCCGCACGGGTATGTGCTCTCTTCCAGTAAGTAACAAATTCCACCCCAAAAGTTCTACCTTCCACAGTCAAATCAAGAAGCCCTTGGGGGCTGCTGCGTGGTTCAGTCGTTAAGTATCTGACTTTGGCTCAGGTCATGATCTCATGGTTCGTGAGTTCGAACCACGTATCTGATGAGCTCAAGCCCCACTTCAGGTAAAAAAAAAAAAAAAACAGGAGCCCACTCTGGGTGAGCCCCGCTTCCCTCTCTCTCTCTCTCTCAAAAAATAATAATAATAATTAATTAAAAAATTTAAAAATAAAAATAAAAAAAGAAGTCCTGTCCCCACTTCAGAAGCCCCCCAGGACCCTAAAAGACCTTCACCAAGAAAAGTCCCATTTCCTTTTCCTTTTTTTGCTTTGCTTCCAGTCCCAACATCTAGACCCTGCCTACATCCCACTACTCCACCCAGAACTGGTGACCTCCTATTGGCAGGAATTCCCTGCCTTTTTTTAAAGTTTATTTATTTATTAAAAAAGGGTTTTATTTTTTAAATGTTTATTCATTTTTGAGAGACAGAGAGAGACAGTGTTAGCGGGGGAGGGGGGCGGGGGGGGGCAGAGAGAGAGGGAGACACAGAACCCGAAGCAGGCTCCAGGCTCTGAGCTGTCAGCACAGAGCCCGATGTGGGGCTTGAACCCACGAACTTGAAGATCATGACCTGACTGAAGTCGGACGCTTAACCGACTGAGCCACCCAGGCACCCCAAGTTTGTTTATTTATTTTTGAGAGAGAGTAAGAGAACACAGTGCATGCGCGTGCAAGCCAGGGGAGGGACAGAGAGAAAAGGGAGACAGACAATCCCAAACAGGCTCCGCAATGTCAGCACAGAGCCTGACACAGGGCTCGAACCCACGAACCATGAGAAATCTCAACCGACTGAGCCACCCAGGAGCCCCAGGAACTCTCTTCCTTGACCTGCCAGGCCGGCAGGACACTGACGGCACTTTGCCTCTGCAGGGATCCTGAAGCGGCCGACGGAGGAGAGCTGGTCCTGGGGGGCTCTGATCCGGCTCACTATATCCCACCCCTCACCTTCGTGCCGGTCACGATCCCCGCCTACTGGCAGATCCACATGGGGCGGTGAGAGACCTGGCCTCCTAGGTCTGGGAGGAATGGGCCAGAGACCAATCCCCATTGTCCTGGGGAGGAGGGAGCCGGAGGCCTGGACTCCTGCTCTGAGGGAGGAGGAAGCTGGGGGCCTGGACTCCTGGGTCTGGGGGAGGAGGGGCTGGGCCAGGGCTCCTGTGATTGAGGGAGGAGGGGCTGAGGGCCTGGATTCCTAGGACACTGGCTCCAACGTCTACCCTTTGCCCCCTCACAGTATGAAGGTGGGCACAGGGCTGACCCTTTGTGCCCAGGGCTGCGCTGCCATCCTGGACACGGGCACATCCCTCATCACAGGACCCACTGAAGAGATCCGGGCCCTGAATACAGCCATTGGAGGAATCTCCTTGCTGGTGGGCGTGGTGAGGACCTAGTGTCTGGTGGGGCTTTGATGGCAAACACTGGGCAGGATGCTTGGGGCCCGAGGGTGGGATTAGGTGGTTAAGAGGTATCCCAAGGCAGAAGGCACTGGGCGTCACGAGTGACAGGCTGTGGGGCAGTGGTCGGAAGCAAGGACACTTCCTAGGCATCTGCTGCGTGAGTCTGGAGATGGTGATACGGGTTGATTCAGGACTGCATGGGAGTCAGAAGCCTAGGGAGCCTGGGGACATCCGGGGGAGGTACACAGGAAGCTGAGGAATATTTACCATCAGATGGTACTCAGAGCCTTGGAGGGCAGCCGTCTCTGGGAGAGAGAAGAGGTCTCAGGAGCAGCCTTGGGGAACATCCACATGGAGAAGTGGAGACAGGGCAGGAGCGGTGGCAGGCAGGGGAGGGGCGCCTGGAGAGTGGGGGCTCACTGAGGTTGTGCAAAGGAAGCTTCAGGCATGGAGGGGCACGGTGAACATAAAAGGTGCTCACCCACTTCTCATCAGCAGGCCCTTCAGTTTGGGAGGGGCGGGGGGGGGCAGGGGGCGGGTCCTTCCAGGTAGAAATTTCCACGAGGTCTATCAAATGCCTAGGATGTGGGCTTATAATGAGCCAAGGGAACCAGGTAGATTGGAGTTGGGCATGGGTTGTCCGGGTTGGAACCCAGCTCTGCCACTGTTTTCTCTTGGACAAGCCACTTAATATTCCTTTGCCTCGGCGCCTGGGTGGCTCAGTTGGTTAAGCGTGGGTGCGAGCCCCACGTCAGGCTCTGTGCCGACAGCTCAGAGCCTGGAGCCTGCTTGAGATTATGTCTCCCTCTCTCTCTCTCTCTGCCCCTCCCCTGCTCACACTCTGTCTCTCTCTCTCTCTAACATAAATAAAACATTAATATTCCTTTGCCTCAGTTTCCTAACTTCTAAAACAGGGTTACTAATACTCGTGTTTTAGGTATGTTGTGAGGGTTGAATGCATTAGCCTACATAAGGTTCTAAGCTGATGCTCTGATCATACACTGGAAATCAACCTTGTTCCCATTATTCCTTATCTTCCCAACAAGGTAATGACTATTGGTTTTGAAGAAAGACAGACTTCCTGGCAGTTACTTACAGTGGCCTAACATTGTATTCTTGGGTACTTGGGGGGGGGGGTGGGATTTGAGGTAACGTGGAGAACAACTGTTCTAACAATCTAAAAAAGGCAGCTCTCAGGACGCCCGGGTGGCTGTCGATTAAGCTTTTTGACTTCAGCTCAGATCATGATCTCACTGTTCAGGAGTTCGAGTCCGCATTGGGTGAGCTCGAGCCCGGCTTCAGGGTGAGCCAGACTCTGTCTCTCTCTCTCTCTCTCTCTCCCTCTGTCCCTCGTGGGATTCTGTCTCTCGCTCTGTCTCCACCCTCACTCACTTGCACTCTCTCTCTCTCTCTCTCTCTCTCTCTCTCTCGCTCTCTCAAAAAAGCGGCTCTCTCGCTCTCAGCCACTCAGCTCCGGCTAAGTATTCCCATGTGGGGAAAGCCAGATCTCCTGGTTTGTTGGAGAAAGCTGAAAACATTATTTGAAAGCTCCTGGTTTGGGCCCACAGACCACCCCTTAAACAAAGGAAACGAGCCAATCAACAAGGAATGACTAGGTAGGAGGGGGTGACCAAAACCTTATAAAACAAGGTCCCTTGCCTACAGCCACAGGTATTCACCTTCAAATGTCCCCTCTCTGTAAAGAGAGTTTTCATACTGTTTTGTTTTGTTTTGTTTAAGTTTCTTTATTTGTTTTGAGAGAGAGAGAATGCGGGTGCTTGCGAGTTGGGGAAGGGCAGAGAGAGGGAGAGACAGAATCCCAAGCAGGCTCTGTGCCACCAGCCCGATGCAGGCCTCGAACCCATGAACCATGAGATCATGAACTGAGCTGAACCCAAGAGTTGGATGTTTAACCGTCTGAGCCATCCAGGCGCCACCATATTATTCGTAACTTTCTAATTTTCAATAATAAACTCTGGCCCGCTGCTCACTTAAAAAACAAGCAAGCAAGCAAGCCCCTGGTTTGTGATAACACTTACTATGTGTCCAGGCATTCTTCCAAACTAACTTATTATCCACATAACATACCTATGAAGTGTTACTATCAACTACACCTTCAAATTGGACACCGCGCGACACAGAGAGATTAAGTAACTTGCCTAAGGCTGCACAGCAGCAGACTCCAAGGATACCACCTGCACCACCGTGGGGTACAGTTGGTAACTAATTTTTAAAACATTTTAGACACAGTGCAAGACAACTTAAATGCACCCTGTGGGCTCCATGTGCCTCGGGGCCGGTAGTTTCTGATCCACAAGTAGATGAAGGAAAAGAGGATTTGATCAAATGGGAGCCTAAAGGAAGTGACAACAACTATGTTAGGGGCGACGGAAGAGCGGGTGAGGCGAGAGAAGGCAGCAGAACTTGACCGCACAAGACCGTGAAGACCTATCTTAAGCAGAGCGGGAATCCCTCAGCCCCACTTGTTCCTCTTCTCCCTCAGTACCTCATCCAGTGCGAGACAATCCCCACGCTGCCCCCCGTCTCCTTCCTCCTTGGTGGGGTCTGGTTTAACCTCACGGCTCAGGACTACGTCATCCAGGTAGGTGGCCGTCACAAGGCAGTGACGCAATAAGATGGGATTTGAGAGGATGGAGCTGGGAACGAGACATCACTGGGACGGAGTAGGGGCCACAGAAACATTTCTGGTGTCAGGGGTAGTGGGCGGGGCAAAGCTGTGGCTCCCGGGGAAGAGGCGGGTTCGGTGTGCCTGACACCCAGTGGCCCGTTTTGTCGCCTTGCAGAGTGTTCGGGGTGGTTTCCGCCTCTGCTTGTCTGGCTTCCAGGCCCTCGACATGCCTTCGCCTGCAGGACCCCTCTGGATTCTCGGCGATGTCTTCTTGCGGACCTACGTAGCCGTCTTCGACCGCGGGAACCTGACGAGCGGGGCCCGAGTGGGGCTGGCGCGCTCTCGCTTTGGGGAAACCGGACCACGAAAGGGTGGGCCCGCGCAGGCGCAGTTCTCCGGTTGGCGCCTCGGTTAGGCGCATGCGCACCGAGTGGTAGTCGAGGCCCAGGTACTCCGTAAAAATCCGTTCTTACCATTGACAATACCTGGGTCACTTTTTTCTTTTTTTTAAGCGCGTGATTTTTGGAGAGAAAAGTTAGTGTCCAGCTCTCTGACTTGAGGAAGAAAGGAAGGAGAAAGGTATCACTCCTTTTCTCCAGGGCAGGGCTCCCGCCGGTGCGGAGGTCTTGTACTACGAATCCCAGGAGGCCCTTCGCCTACGCTGTCTATAGACAGAGGCGTCCGGAACCGCGAAGCCTCATGGACCTTGTATTCCAGGCCGTGTTCTCGTCTTGCCGGGGGCGGGCGCAGCCACAACATGCGTGGGAGGCGACAGGTCGCGACGGCAGCGACAGGTGGCAGTGGGGGGTGGTGCCTGAATCGTAAAGGGCTTTCCAACCCTTGTTTTAAGGGGAGGGGATATGATTCCCGCAGACTTCAACCTCTGTTCTTCCTTTCTCCCCTTGGGATTCCGAGACCCCTGGGTCCGCCATAAAGGCGGGGCTTGAAGCCCCCGGGTTGGGGGAGCTGTGCTGTCCCTCCTCCGGCGATGATGTCATCCCCCCCTCCGCAGCTTCTTGCTGCCCTGAGCTGCCGGGGCTGGGTCACCCCTCCCCCAACGCCAGCCCCGGATTCCCCCATCCCCGCCCCGCCTCGACTTGGGGTGAGTACGGGGGGAGGGGGAGAAGGCACAGGGTCCGGGGGCGGTAAAACGACCCAAATCCCAGTTTTGGAGGCGAGAGACCCGGGAGATGGGGACTCAAAGATTACAGCGGAGAAATTCTTCCTTAATAACGAGCTTTGGGAGCCAAGGTTCTTGGAAGGCCTGGGGGGACCAAGGATCGTAGGCGGAGAGTCTCCATATTTTCAGCTTTACTGTTCGGAAGACCCTCTTTCCTGGATTTATAACTGATGGGAATGGGGGTGGAGGAACGAGGCTGGGATCCTAGAAGTCGGGAAGCGGGAGACCCTTTCCCAATTCCAGGGCCTTGGAGAATGGGGGAGGGGGGATGAAGGGGGCGCCAAGGATGACAGAGGTGGGAGTTTGGAGCTTTCAGGAATTTTGTGCCTGGAGGACCAGGAAAAGGATAGACTGGGAAGGAGGAGGGGTGGGAAAGGGCTGGAAACCAGGACAGACATTGGTCTACAGCCTCCTGGTGTCCATCGCCCCAAATCAAGTCCGCTTCCCCCTGGTCTGTTTGCAGGGCTGGGTGTCCCATACCCGGGGCCTACATTATGCCTCCAGTCGCCTACCCCATGGGTATAGACTCGAGGCTCACAAATCCCCCACATACCCCGGTGGGTCCTGGAGAGGGCCACGAGGGAGTGGTGGCATTCAGTTTTCCCTGGACCTGATGGAGTCTGGACTATACTGTTACTCCTTGCCCCAGGGCCTCCGCCCCGCTCCCATGGTCTCTAATCTGGAGTCTCATCCCATATCGTCCCCTATGGCAGCCCCCTCGCCCACAGCCCCCACCTTCTCCCACACCTTCTGACCTCTGCAAAAACGCTGATTTGGTAACTGGATCCCGTGCCTGGCTGCTGTCAAAAGCAGAAGAGAAAAGTAGAGTTGGGGGGAGGGGAGAGGATATAAGGGAGCATAGCTGATTTTTAGGTGTTTACCCTAGTCCCTACTCCCACCCCTAGTGCCTACCCAACCCTTCCTCCAGCCACCACCCCCACTCGTGACTCGCTCAGAAACCTCACTCAACCCAAGCCTCAACCTAAGCCCAGTCCCTCACCTCAGGATTCACTGCTTCTGCCTGGGGATACACCAGAATTCAGGGTAGAGAAGAGTAGGAAGTTTGGATGTCTTTTCTCTGCCTTCCTGGGTCCCATCGGGGGCTTGAGTACCGCCCAAGGTCTGGGGCGGGGGGGTGTGAAGGAAATACCTCCTTGGTCTGCAGGACAGGCTCCGCTTCTGCAACTCTCTCCGCAGTGACGCAGCCTCGGGTTCTGGCCAGGATGGGGGTTAGAGGGGGTGATGGAGGGACAGAGACCAAAGGACAGCGGGACAAAGTCCCAAAGAAGTGGAGACAGAGCCTCATAAGGGGATAAAAGAGGCACGGGGAGTGGGGATAGAGACCCGCATAGGGTGACAGAAAAAGGAGAGAAAGAGAAAAGGCACTTACAGAGGAGGGAGAGAGACGGAGGAGAGGAAAAAGATACTGACAGAGAGGTCGTCAGAGAACAAGAGCAAGGGGGACAGAGATGCAGATGAATGGATAGAGACGGGGGGTGGGGGGTACAGGCTGGGAGAGGGGAGTGGAGGACAGAGACACAAAGAGAAGAGACAGAGACCGGGAGGGGGCAGAGGCCCAGGGAGAGAGAGAGGCAAATCCCCAAGAATAAGCTACAGAGACCAGGAGAAAGGGACTGGGGGTGGGGGGACGGAGACACAGTTGGGGGAGAGGAGACTGAACCTTAGGGAGAAGGGAGTAAAGACTCAGAAGGAGGGGAACAGATTCAGAGAACAATGAGACAGAGACCCGGAGGGAGGGTAGAGACTTAGAAAAGAGGGTCCAGAGTCTCAGCGGGGCGAGGGCAGAGACGAGGGGACAAATAAATACTCAAAGAAAGGGGATAGAAAGACATCGAGAGACACAAAAACGGGAGCGGGGGCGGGTGGGTAGGCGATACGAACCAGCCGCCGCACCTGCAGAGGGAGGCGGTGGGCCAGGGATAATGCAGCGGGAGAAAGCCCGCAGCCCCTGACCCGCCCCCTTCGCTCCCGCAGGCACCGCCTCCTCCCGCCGCAACCGGGGCAGAAGCTGAGGCCCCCGCTCCAGCGCCTGCGCCCAGCTGCTCGGTGTCTGGCCAGCCAAGGGGGCGGGGCAGGACACGCCCCTCCACTAGCCCCGCCCCAACTCTCCGCTCCCGCCGGGACTTTCGGACACCTAGCCCCGCTCTATTTCTCATTGGCCCCGCTTATTTCCTCAGCCTAGCCAGTTTCCCGGCGCTTAGGTTTCTCCCCTCCGCCGCCCTTAAGGCTCTCTCTTCACCTGTCCTCATCCATCCCTTGGTTCTGCAGTCTGCAGTCCGCTGTTTTCTAGACTTGGTCCCTTTCACATCACCAGTTGGAAGTTCTTGCAGCGCCCTCCAAAGCCCTGTTGACCCTCACGCCGCTCTCCCAGGTTCTCTGAGCCCAGACTCCCCGTTCCAGGTCCTATTCTTCCATCCAGCCCAGTAATTTTGTACTCTGCCGGTCTCACCTTTCCCGTAGCGTCCCATACCCGTTCTGTACTCTCTTAGCCCTGCCCCAACCCCGCCTAGGCTGGTTGCTTTCAAGCCTCTTAGAGCCCCAGTACTCCCCTAGTCTCGTCTTCCCACAGTCCATTCAAGACGGTTTCTACCATTTGTAGATCCCACCCACCTTCCTCGGTCTCATCCATCCATCCTGACACTCCTCTTCCCGCCCAGCCCTGTCTGACCAGACCAAGCTTGCAACCCCGGCCCGACCCCTTCCTCGCTTCGTTCCCTTTCTTAGTCCTAGGCAGACGCTCTCAGGTTTCCAGGCCTCGCTTATATCCTCTCCTGCTCACTGGGTCTCAGTCCCTATTCCTCCTTTCTGTCCAGCCTAGTGCCATTTCGCACGAAAGTACGGTCTATTCTTCATTTCCAGTTCCCGCCCCTCGTTCAGTCTCGCCCCCTCACTACCCAGCCCAATTAGGACTGTTTCTAACTTTCCTAGGCCCTGCCTCTTCTTAAGATCCGCCCTGCCCCGACAAAGCAAAGTTAGGGGTCCAACCCGGCTGTCTCCATCTGCCCCTCCCCACAGGCTCCAGGTTGCCGGCTCTTTAGATCCTTTCTCTGTCCAATCAGGACCGTCTCCCCCATGCCAGCCAGAAGTCTTTAAGTAGTTTGGACATGTCCACTTCCTCTGCTCCGCCCACTCCTTTCTTCAGTTCAATCAGATCTCTTTCTCATATCTAGTCCCACCCCCTCAGTTAGCTGCCCGTCCTGCCCATTTGGCACCTCGCTCGGACCTCCCCTTCTCTCGGAAAGATCCAATCGGTGTGTTTCACCTGCAGCCCCGCCCCGAGCAGCTAGGCTGTGTGGAGTCCCTGTCCTTCCCCCTGCCTCAGCCCCGCCCTAGCGTCCCCAGACCAATCAGCTCTGTTCCGCCCCCACCGAGGCCCCGCCCCCTCCACCCGTCGCTTCTTCCACCCAATCACGTCTGCTTCTCCTCCTGCAGCCCCGCCCCCGACGCCCCGCCCCTGCAGCCCCGCCCCCCGTCCAATGCTGAGCTCAGTCTGCGTCTCGTCCTTCCGCGGGCGCCAGGGGGCCAGCAAGCAGCAGCCGGCGCCACCGCCGCAGCCGCCCGAGTCCCCGCCGCCGCTGCCCCCGCCGCC